TCAGTACATGCCAAAGGCCGTATATTCAGTTCATAGTTGAAAATGCTCAGAATGTCATAAAGCTTTGCCATTAAGGCTGCAATATTACATGCGCTTAAGAGTAAATCCCTCTTTAATTCAGTGGGAATGAGCAGGCTGTTTTGCATTTAGATTTCTTCCTAAAAAGCGATCGATCGGTAGCAATTGAATAACTTCCTGTTTCTTTCTGTTTTCAACTGACCTGGTCAGTGGTCGATGAAGACGGTAAGGCCTGTGTGCTAAATCTAATCTGTCTGCTGTACTTTGTAATAACAGCATGAAAATAGCTTACTGAAGTCGTCTCCATTTCATAGTTGCTTTGAGTCAATTGTTGAGACGCCTATCCTGGTCACTGTACATACTTTGTCACTCTCTGTCTCATGATCATTTGTGCTTCATGTGAACAAGACAGACTCCTGATTTGGTTACTGGTTACATATCTAAGATCACTTGCAGATAAGGTAGTTCAGCCAACAGATGAGGTGTGTTCTTGCACTGTCTCTATCAGATGAGAAATAAGTTGGGGGGAGGGGTTGGGCGTTTTCTTTTTAAAGAAACTATGCATTTCAGTTGTCTGTGGATAATAGACATTGACTCCATAGTGTAGAATCTCACCAGAACTTTAATATCAGCTTAGATTTTTGCCAGTTTTAAAATGTGACACAAATTAGTGAATCACAGTTTTTCTTATCATCTTTCATACAAGTAGAATAGTAGTAGATGGATTTTCTAGGCTGGTCCATAAATAAATGAATATTCTGTTCTTAGAGTTGGTGAGAAAAGATACTATTTGAAAAGTTCTCTGTTTTGAAATGTGAATTACTTTTCAATTTACCATGTTCAAAGCAGTTTACAATAAATTAAAACTGATTGAAACCATGTTAACCAGTTAATACTGTTGTGCAAGTTATATTTAATATGGGATGGAATTTAATCTTTAGAATTTAGTTTGTAGTATCCACAGGAGAGATATTCATGCAATCCAAGATGAGGCATTATTTATCCTTCTTTACAAATTAACCTCTCAGCCATCAGATTGTTACAGAACTTTTAGATGCTTTTGTGAATGACTCAGCCTGGTTTTTATAACTTTATGAAGTTTACAGGTGCAACCAGAGGTTCTTGGTAGAGTGAGGAGGGAATGAGATACAGAGTATACCTCCTCTACCTTTTTAGGATGGTTAAAAAATGCTTGAAACGTTTCTAAAGAAGATGACTGTATTAATTCTGAGGCTGTAAATTCTCTCACACGTATTTATGCATGTGTACCCACAGAGCAGTAATTATGCAAGGTACAAAATATTTTACTGTGAAAGAGTAGTGCCATGGGAAGAGGATGGACACCAATTTTGTCTACGTATTAGGCACATTTTATTTCAAAGAAGGCTCTCAAGATATTTACAGGATGCATTCCCACAAAAGTTAAACAGGACAGAAGTGTGCAAATCCTAGGTACTTTTAGCTTATTGAACGCAGTGGGGCTTACTTCTGAGCAAGTATACATGGGATAATGTTGCTTGTCTTATTGATTCCAGTGGAATTTAGACTTAATTTTTGCTGGGCGATGCCCACAGTGTCACTTCTGTATATGATAGGGGCAGCCTGTCTTACAGTGAAGAATAACTAATGCAATTTATCTTAGAGCAAGAAGTTCTTTTTTAAAAATTGCCTCTCTTGAATGAGGTAGATGCAAACTTGTGGGCCTCAGTAATTTAATCACCATAACACCGTAATAACTGTGTAGTCCTACATAAACCATCATTTTAAATGTACATATTTCCAACATCCTAAGTAATCATTTTTTAAGGAATGTGTATGGTATTCCTGTTGATCTGAAAAGAATGTAAGTGTCAAGTTTTGGAGGAAGATTAACTTAATAGGCTCAATTGTTTTTACAACTCTTTGAAATAGCTTCTGTAAGCAGATGGTGAACTACAGAGACACAGACTTCTGAACCCCTGTTTAGCTTGCAATTACTGATTGGTGCTATAGTTAGATTATTAAGTTGTTAACCTCATGTGCTTAGTAGGTGGCCCTTTACATCCTTTCCTTTATAACAGTTTGTTTATAGATCTGAACTTGCTAATTGTAGGCCCGCCAACCTAACCAACCAAGCAATGCTGAATAAAGTAGAAGCTGGTTATATTGACTTCAGTTGAGGTTTTGTAGAAATAAAATAAAATAGAGCATCTAAATATTGTCTTTTAGACATCCATACTTGTTCCAGCTATACTTGTGAGATGTTTTTTTTTTTTTAGGGAAAGCCAAAAGAAATTAGATGGCCTGGTTCCACTGATTATGATCACTAATTATTCAATACTACTTTGTGGTCTTTGTAGATCACACTGAAGGGTTTTCTGCATTTAACAGCTAACTATAGAAGGTGCTAAGCTCATCAGTGTGAATACACAGATGACTGCTCGAAAAATGAGAGTTATAGGTAAGCAGGCTGTTCCTATATGCTGAAGCATTGCACACAAGGGTGTCAAACGTCTGACTCCTAGATTGAATGACTAGTTCATGCTTGATGTGTTCTGTATTAAGGGGAAGAAGGCCCTGCTCAGATGAGTGAAGCTGTCCTGATAGAGCATGGGGGACGGTCTTGTATGTCATAGCCAGTACTTTCAATTGAGCCCAGTAACTGATGGGCAGCCAGTGGGGTGACTGCAGAAGGGGAGTAATATGCATGCTCCATCTAGCTCCTGATAACAGCTGCATCAACTGGAGTTGCAAAGAGCATTAACAGTAGTCTAGTCTCAATGTCTCTGTGGCCTGGATCCAGGTGGCCAGATCAGCCTTCTGAAGGTAAGGGGCCATTTTTCCAGCTAGGCTGAGTTGGAAGAAAGCCATTTTTACAACTGTATTAACTTGCAGTTAATATGAGTTTTCTCATATTGAACTGACGACGGGACCATGACCAGTCATTGCCTGCTTCAAAGCTCATTGGGATCTTTTTAAAAAGGCTGCCTGCTCCAAAGTACAACATAATATGGGAAATCCATCTTCCCTTCTCTTGAATGAAAGGCAGGTGGTTGTCAAGGTGCATTGAGAAAACATGCTGTTGGCAAGTAGATGTGTGGAGGCCTGATAAGAGGACAAGAGCAAGGAATAAATGAACCTATAAAGTGCACTGTTGTTACATGTGTCAGTGTATGACTTTAACTATGATTAAGGAGTAGGAGAAATTTGCTCCAGGAGGAGACTGTGAGGAGGCAATGCCAAATCCTGATAATGCCCAATTTATTATTTGCTGTTAGCCTGGAGCAAGTGTTATATCTGCAGTGATCCAGTATCCTTTGGATGAGTGCTGAATCATATGTTTGGGAATAAGTCCTGTCCCCAAAACGTGCAGCATTATGACAGTTTGAACCCACATGATTCAGGGAAGCATTAGGATGTTTTTAATAAGATTTTGCTGATATCTCCTCTTCAGTCTATTAAGTCAGTTTAATCATGCTACTGTTCAATAATATAGCATTAATGCAACATTAGCACTTGAAATATCTTTTTTGTCTCTATAGTTTCCAAAGTTTTTCTGGAATTAGTCTTTAGAATTCTGTATTTTGGTCTTCCTGACTTTCCTACATTAATCTAGAAATCTCACTGTTGTCCCTCACCCGTATACTGCCTCATTCTGAGCATACCGATAGAGGTGAGGCAGCTCACTATGATGTAGTCAGTGGTCACCGTTTTAGAATCATGGTCTTGCTTTCTAGTAGTGCGTTTGAGCTTCTATTCTATTTGGAACTTCTCAGTCTTTACACATGCTTGAAGGTGTGACATCAACTAGGATAAACGGGATTTAGCATTGTACTTGAGGCCTAACAGCAATGACTGTTATATTATGTTAAGTCTTTAATACCATACCACAAGTTTGTCAAAAGACAACTACTACTTGTGGCACCTTGAAAACTACCATATTTCATGTGAGGTGAGGTTTGATGAAGTGGTAGGCTCTTCATACCACAACAAATGTGTCAGTTTTTACAGTGTTACAAGACTTTTGTTGTTGTTGTGTTATGCTGTATAGGTGAACACAGCTAGTCATCTAGAATTCATCCTATTACTGCCTGTTTTGTAACCATACTACATTTCCGGTTCATGCTAAACCGGTTGTCCAGTATAACATCTGAAAAGCCTTTGGACACGCCATTGATAAGCTCAGTATCTTCTCATTAGACTTCTGTTGTTTTCTCTGTAGCTAAATGGTCCACAGTTCTGCTTGCTGATTTGCATTACACTGTTTCCATTCTGGTCCCCCCATATATTACATTTCCCTTGCATCTGATATCCTCTTAATCTTTGTTTCCTTCTCAAGATTATGGGTTAGGCCCTAATGCCCACAAACAGAAGGAGATTGTGGAAGTGGATTCCCACCTTCCCCAGCATTCCTGTTCTTGCTTCATATAGTCTGCTGAGGGTTATGTGACGCTCCTGAACAATATGCCACTTAACGGGAAAGGAGGCTTACAGAAGGAGGTTACAACTGCACCCAGTCGTACCTGCTTGAGCTTGTGTGAGCTCCTAGGGATTAATGGAATTTGCCGCGCGTGTAGAGGGGCAATTTCATTTGCTTCTCCTTTCTTGCTTCATGGAGTCCTGTTCAGGAGGGTCTCACAATCTTCAGGAGCCAACCACAAGGAGGGTTGTGAGAGAAGGTGAGGAAGATCCTTTTCTAGAAATCTTTCCTTTGTGAGAGTTTGGATCCAACCTGCTATAGTACGTAACACTGATTATCTATTATGTGAAAAATGGAAATTCTCAAGTTGCAAAAAAATGAATGAGAACTACTAGGGGATCAAGTCGTGATCTCAGTCTGAAGCCTGTGTTTCTCTGTAGCCATAATGGGTGGGGGAGAGAGTTCTCTTCTGCTGCTTCTCTGACTGAAGTGCTTTTGGCTGTGTGTGAGCTACCAGTGGAAATAACCAATCAATGGTTGCATATTTTTTAAAAAACAAGGGTTGCATTCCCCTTTGATTCAGGGTCCTGCTCAGGAAGATTTTAGCCACCTGCCCCCAGAACAGAGGCGAAAGAAGTTGCAGCAGCGGATTGATGAACTAAACAGAGAACTACAGAAAGAGACAGATCAAAAGTAAGTTCTTGTTCTTTGTTGGTTTCTTGCCGTTCTTACTCTTGTGATTGTCTACCTATCTTTTGTTTAAGTCAGTTTAGTTTAATATTATTGTCCAGTGTTGTCAGTGTGGCTCCCAACCTTGACTTTCTCCTGTATTGTACAAGAGCAGCTTCTCTTCTTGGCCTCCCTAGAAAGATGTCAAAGGACCTTAGGAGTGAAAGACGGGATGCTGAGGTTTAGTATGATTCCTTAGAGCAATTAAATCTATATATCTAATAGCCAAGGTGCCCCCCACGTGCGGATATCTAAATCCGCACATCGGGGGCACCTGGGGGGCAGGGAGATTTTCCTGCACATTTGGGGCAACCCCCAGATGTGCAGAAAAATCTAAAAACTGTAAAAAACTATAGGGGGGATACTTAAATCCCCCCAAAAGTAAAGGAGCGTTCCCTGCGCATGCACAGGGAATGCTCTGAGAAGGCTTCGCCACTGCCACAGGGGACAGGGGGCGGGAGAAGGCTTGGTGGGCTGGTCTCACCACTGCCGGGAAAGGAGGGGGGAAGGAGAAAGCTTGGCGGGCTGGCCTTGCCGCTGCCACGGGAGGGGGGGAAGGGAGAAGGCCGGGCTCACCTACTGCCGCGTCTCCTGCAGGCCGGGAGCTGTGGGGAATACTTCCCCCCCCACAAGTATCGCGGGTCCCGCCTCTTGTTTATATACTAAAAGTCAAGAGGCCCCCTCTGTGAGGATATCTAAATTCGCACATCAGGGGCACTTGAGGGGCAGAGATTTTCCTGCACACTTAAGGCAGTCCCCAGGTGTGCAGAAAAATCTGAAAAGTTTTTAAAAATATATGGGGGATACTTAAATCCCCCCCAAAGTAAAAGAGCATTCCCTGCACATGCGCAGAGAACTCTCTGGCTATGGAAGGGAGGCTTGGCGAGCCCAGCTGTTGGGAGCCGCTCAAGGCTCACCGCCGGTGCTGGGGGGTGAGTGTGGGAGAAGGCTCGGCGGGCCCGGTGACTAGGAGCCGCTCAGGCCTCGCCACCAGTACCCGGGGGGAGTGGGAGAAGGATTGGCAGGCCCAGAGGCTGGGAGCCATGCGGGCCTCGCCATCAGTGCCAGGGGGTTGGGGGGGGAGAATTGGCAGGCCTGGGCCTCAACATCGGAGGGGGGGGGCGGGGGAGAAGGATTGGTGGGGCCTTGCCATCAGTGCTAGGGGGGCAGGGGAGAAGGCTCACCTGTGGCTGCTTCCTCCTCCACATGGAGCTCCTTCTCCCCCGCAAATATCATAGGTCCCCGCTTCTTGTATATATCTAATGTGTTTTTAACCCATTTTGCATCCTTTGTATAGAGACGCACTCATTAAAATGAAAGATGTATATGAGAAAAATCCGCAAATGGGAGATCCAAGCAGTCTTCAGCCAAAATTGGCAGAGACTATGAGCAACATGGACCGTCTCCGGATGGAAATACACAAGAATGAGGTCAAAATACATTAAAATGTTTCTTTGGTGTGTGGAAATGTTGGCAGCCCCTACACAAGCATCCTCCCAAATCCCAGAGGGGTATTTGCATGGGGGAGGGGATTGAGGGTCTCCATCCAAGTCACAACTACTGACTGTTTTTAATCAAGGAGATGCAGTGTTGCCAGGCATTTGCAGAAAATAGCAGCCATTGAAAATCATACGGGAAGGCTTTGCCTGCAGGATGCTTCCTTAAAAGCTGGTCTTGAAGCTAACACTGTGAGACTGCTGTCCACAAAACAAGGAAGTTAGAAGAGTGTTTAACAATATTTGGTGGATTCAGGTTTGTCTGTGATGAGGGAGGCTTGCAAGGACTCGTGGGGAGGGGAAATCCCATCCCCCCCCCAACTGCTTCTCTTTTGTGAATCCTTTTCTCCTTCCTCCATGCTGAATCAGCCTGCCTCTCTTTGCCTTGCATGCCTAGCTTGTCCAGCTGCAGTTTTTGGCATCCCATCTTCCTGGTGTTTCCTTTTCCCTAGTCAATTGTCTGTCCTTTGCTGATGTTTGGGGGGGGGAGGGAGTTTGTGCAGCATCATGGGTTCCTAAACAACTCAAAATGTTGCACAGCCTTAGTTTCCTGAGAAACCTACAGTAGTGCAGTTTACTTTGGTGTTTTGTTTTGTTTTAAAAAACCCTTTCTTTTGTAGTTCAGTTTTCTGCAAACCTTAAAATTACCCCAGCCTTGCAAAAATATGTATCTTCGTCATGGGTAGTCCCAGATTTTTGAAGGCTATCCATCACAGTTAGATATATGATAGCTGTTTTGAGAAAACGGTGCACTTAATGTGAATGTAACGTGACTTTATTTACTTCATCTCACCACCACCCCTTCTCCGTTTTGGGCACCCGAAGCGGCTTATGTCATACTTCTCCCCTTCATTTTACCCTCACAGCAACCCTGTGAGGTAGATTAAGCTGAGTGTGTGTGAGTGGCCCAAGCTTACGTTGGCAGAGAGGGGATTTGAACCTGGTTCTCCCAGACCCTTATGGTACAGTTTGATGAATAAGAGAAACTGAACAGTGCTTTAGTAGTGATGGTAGGGAAGTCTTGCATTGAATTTTGGTAGGTAGCAATTTTGGATACTAAATCAGACATACTTGCCTTCAGAAATTACTAAAATAGGCATTTCTTTTGTTTGGACATTTTGAGGGTTCAGTTATTATGAACTGCTGTGGCTGTCTCACGACAGCTAAATCCAGTATTGGTTTGGACTGAAAACTTCTGGTGATACTGGTACCAAGTCACCCCTTCTCTCTTTTAAGGCTTGGCTTTCTGAAGTTGAAGGCAAAGTAGCAGCAAGAGGAGACCGAAGACACAGTAGCGACATCAACCATCTTGTAACTCAAGGAAGAGAGAGGTCACTATTTTAAACTTTTACTGTGTTTGTAGGTAGCGGTGTGGACAGGAATAAATTGGTGTTTTTCAGGTTCAGGTGTACCATACCCTAAAAAATATCGGTATATACAGATGTTCTCAAATCCCAATATTGGTATGAGATTGGTATTGAGATAATCGGCTCCATACCTTCCTGTTCCAAAAGGCAGGGTACACTTTAACACCTTGATAATCTATCTTCTGATGTTTTATGGTTGGGCAGATGAATTTATAGAATTCATCCTGCCCCAAGGACAGGTGTGTGTCTGATGCCTATATCAGCATTCATTCTGTCTGTATTCACGATGAACAGTATTATCAAGTTGTATATGTAGGGTTTACCATGCATGCTTTGCTTCACAAAGATATATATATAATCACAAATGAGATCTGCAAGTGTTGTGATATCTACATGGGAAAAGTAATAGAGTTCTTTGGTTTGAGAAGTATGAACATTCCTTGTTTTAACTGCTGTGTTATAGCCCTGAGGGGAGCTATACCGATGATGCAAACCAAGAAGTTCGGAGCCCACCACAGCAGCACAGCCACCATAATGAATTTGATGATGAGTTTGAAGACGATGATCCCTTACCAGCAATTGGACACTGCAAAGCTATCTATCCATTTGATGGTAAGGTTAACTGGGGGGTATTAAAAACAACAACACGATATTTATTTGATAAGTGCTTTTTACCCTGAATAGAACTATCTGCACATAAACTATTCCAGCAGCTGGTTTAGGTTCTGGGAAATTGTGCCATAAATTGGATTTTGTTTAATGGCGGAATAATACTTCTGCATTGTAACAAAACAAATATGTTAGATTAGAAAAACAGCCGTTGGCATCCATTCAGTTTTACAGCAAGGGACCAGATTTTGTCTGTTGGCCTACGCTTGGAACATATGTTCCATCACACACATCAGATGATTCCTCCTGTGAATAGAAAAACGAGTGCTAAGAAAGAGAACTTGCAGTTTAAGTCCTGCTGGAGCTGCGAATGTGCTTCTTTGGGTGTTCTGCTTTTTCTCCAGGTCACAATGAAGGTACCCTGGCAATGAAAGAAGGCGAGGTCCTATACATTATAGAGGAGGACAAAGGAGATGGCTGGACAAGAGCTCGGAGGCAGAATGGAGAAGAAGGATATGTGCCAACTTCCTACATAGATGTAACTCTAGAGAAAAACAGTAAAGGTGCAGTAACCTATATCTAATCTACAGAGTCTGTCACCAATGAATCCTGAAGCATACAGTTGGATGGAAAGTATTAGAGCATTTAGGAGACCGCATTAATCTCTTGTTCACCATGTGAGCTCAACCTGTTCCCACTTCTGCAACTGGGGAAATTCTGTGCTTTGAGTAGCTTGTTCTCCTATTCTGGCCAGTGGCATCTTGTTTCTCTTTTCTGCCTTTATTTGCATGAAGGCTTTTAAGTGTTCTCTTTCAAACAGTGGTCAGGTCAGTGTGTTTTATTGGGTTTTTATATTTGTAAAGGTTTCTACTTGCTTGAAGGCATTTTAAGTAGATCAGTGATTTTTTTAAAACGCAGTGTTCTGTTCCATTAGTCTTCACTGTCCCCTAGCCACAGAACAAACTCCCAAAACGAGAACCTGTTTGAAATAAGTACTAAGCTCACTTAATGAAATCGTCCCAGCCCAAAGAACAGTTTCCAAGCAGAAGCCCCTCTTTTCACTCCTTGGTCCTTCTTGCATAATGAATGCTTCAAAAAAAACATTCATTACGCAAGAAGGACCAAGGAGTGAGAAGAGGGGCTTTAAATGCTTCAAAAAAACAGACACACATCTTGCATTCAGCGTGGAGAAAATAAAGTGAAGCTCCCTACTGCAGGTGTGCAAGCCACTGTCTCTGTAAAGGCACTTGGGTGATTGCAACATTGGCTTGGATCCTATGCAGCAGAGCTGCACTGCTGAAATGATGCCATTCTTTCTCACCTTCCCCTTTCTGCTGTTCCCTTGTGGGTTAGTGGACCCCCAGAAACATCAAGGAGGTAAAAATGAAGAAGGCGGGGGGGGGGGGTGCAGTGAGAGAAAGGAATTGGAAAATTGCCTTTCCCCTCTTCCATGAGCAGAAATGTCTACTAAGGATCTAAGCCAGTGTTTAGAAGTATCCTTGCTGATATTTTGCTGATTTTACTTTGAAACCAGGCCCATACTTTCCTTTGCACAAAGATAAAAAGTGCAGAAGGTAATCACAAATGTGGCACAGCTCGCTAATTGCAGGGGATTCAGCAGCATGGCAATCTGCCCCTGTGGTCTCCTCCTTCTTTGTGCTGGCAACCCAGGATGTTGTGTGTACTTGAAATTATTTCGTCTCTGCTTGGAAGTGTTGTCAAAGTTATTCTGTTGTTAAAGCAGAACTGTATCCCCATTATTTTGTGCCAGTGCTCTTGAACACTCCTGGAAAATATATATTCCAGAAGTGCAGAAACTGTTACACATCAGTTCAGCAGTCCTTGTGCAGACAGGCCTGCGCCATCCCATTTGTTCCAGGAGACAGAGCAGATTTGTGTGCACAACGGTAGGGGCATGCAAATCTGCTCTGTTCAATAAGTGGCCAAGGTGTTGTGAATAAGGAAGGTTTTGTGAGTACACTTTGCGCTTCTGTGTCTGGAGCGGGTCACTGGATCAGGCATTAGTCTGTTGGATAAGATGCCTATAAGTAGTGTTTTCTAACTGCTGTTACCTTTTCTGGAATCTGTACTTTGTATATTTATATAAATAAATGCCTTCACTTGCAACTTGGCAAACCCCTGCTGGGCAGTATGATGTGAAGAAATCTGAAAAGGGTTTGCATGATCATTTATGCATAGAGTGTTCATTCTTTAGTTATTAATTTTATTTTTTTTTAAAGAGCACACTTCTCTCTTTGCAAAAGCCTCTGGTAATTCTGTTCTGTTCTTCTTTTTTCCCCTCTTGGACTGCAGGTTCCTGAAGCGGGTTTCTGAGAAAATGGGCGAGATGTTGAAGGAGGTTACATGCAGCTGCTGTTGGGGGAGGGTGTTAGGCCCAGCAAGATTGGGGGGGGGGGAGCCAGTTGCATGAAGGCATGCAGGCATACATTTCCATTAACAATGTTAGCATTGCTGTGTATGTTCAGCGTTTCTGTGGCAAACTAAAGCTCCATTCCAGCAGAACCAAAACCATCCAGATCTGAAATCGCATCCTCTTCGTAGTCCTAAGTTCTGAACAGTTTTACTTGCAGTTCGCCAGTTGCATTGCATATTGGCTGTTTCAGCACTCTCATTGTCCATACCCATATTAACTGGCATTCCGGTAGAATCGTGCCATTTACCAGTCAGTCTCTGCCTGTGCCACCTCCATGCTCGCCCTAACCTTCTCCTGCATGTCTAGGTATGTCTCAGGCATGCCTGCCTAATGTTTTATATTTCCATAGCTCTTCCTCCTCTTCTGCATTTGTAGCAAGACCACTTTTACATGTTATCTTCGGCACTAAATTTTTTAATTCCAGTAGCCATGTATGCTGCTATAACTTTTTTTTGCCCGTTCATTGTGACCGTCGTGACATTCCAGTTATTTTTGCATTTTAACTGATGTGAACGTAACATCCATTTTGATTTGGGGAAAGGAACACACATCTCAGTGCTAGGCAACTGCAGCCCAGCTTCAGCACCTCACCTTTTCCTGAGCACTGAAAACCTGGGATAGAACAGCACAGATTTTCCACCACAAGACAAAAACGACTGTTTTCCGAAGTCAAGTGCTTGCCAATCAGATGCTGCCTTAAACTCTCGAGTGCCTAAATCGGTTGATTTGCCAACGCTTTACCACTTCAGTATCCCGCAAAGGGCTTTGGGTCTCAGCTCCGTATGACCTCTTCTGTCTTTCTACAGTGCTGCAGCTGCTGAGGTAGCCACGGTAGATGTTTTCTTGAGCTCTGCCGTAACACGATACATGGTGCATTGTAAACTTTATGAATTGAAGACTAAATACATGTATCTGTTTCATTTGCCGTCTAATGAATGTTTTTTTTAACAGGATTTTTTAAATTGAGCCTTCTTTTCCCCCTTGATTGTCTTTTACTTTTTAGGATGGGGGCGGGAGAGGGAGGGAAGACTCCAGTTTCTAATTAACTGCAGTGCTAGTCTGTTTCCAAGTGATGCTTCATTGTAAGGACCAGTTGAAAATTGGAGTGATACTTTGTAATGATCTATGTGCACTTTTACTTGTAAACATTGAGATTTGGAAATGTTTATACATGTAAATATAGTTGTCTGCAGCACCCCGATTGCTCACGTTGTTTTGTCTACCATTTGTGAGTTCTGTTTAATGAGATCACTCTTCATCTAACTAAATAAGGTAATCTTAGGACATGGGAAGTTGGGGGAGGGGGGAAGCCAGTGAAACCCTCATAAAACCAGCTTTTTGCTGTTTGTGGTAATGTTTAAAAAAGTTAGCTTTTCTATGCGGGGGGAGGAGGGATGAAGCAATATTTGGACACAGTGCTGGATTCCTTTAGGACTCTTTCAGTGTTATTAGCAGTTGTACTACCAGTAAACTAAATCTGTGTGGATATTGTGTGGAAGTTTTTCTTCCTTTTTATTATTGTGTGCCATTATTACACAGATGACACAGTGTGTTGACATTGGGGCAGTTAAACTCTAAAGGTTAGGTTTCTGGATACTGTAAACAGGGTTATTTATATAAATGTGACCTTACTCAGTACTGACAAAACTACATGGTATAGCTTTTTGTTTTTGTAAAGGACCACCTAGGTGCTTTTTTGTTTCAGAGCTGATGAGAAAACGTTCTCAATGTGATTTTCGGTCAGGAGCTGTGTGGCTTTTACCTAAGAAACCTCACAGGCTTCTGTTACACTTCTTGTAATGAACTAACCGTTCTTTCATGCTACTGTTTTTCCCCCCTAGGACCAGGATTTTTTTCCCTCAGGAGATTTTCTTTCTGTGGTATAATACAACCTTATGTCGGTTAGTAAATATAAGGGGAGGGAAAAACTCTTTGTACTTGCACAATTAGCTAAAATTATTCTGAGATTTTGAACATGATGTCTTAAAACTTTCCAGTAATTTTTAATCTTTTGTGCACGTGTTGATTTTTAAATGTTTAAATGCTTTGTTAAAAACCGTGGTTCTTTTGAGAATATTTTCATGAAATTAAAAATAATCTTTTCATGGTCCTGGTAATTTTCCTTGTTGTCTTCTGTCACAGGGACAGGAACAAATGGGGCTCAGGTACCCTTTGTGAAACAAATGCACTCCGACTAGGCGGTGGTGGTGAACAATCAATATGCCAGTGTGGCAGGCCACCCAGAAATCAACTGCCTGGCAGGACAGGCCCTTGGACCCAGCAGCGACAGTCACCTGGGTGGAGCAGGGTGGGACCAGCGGCAGAGAGGCGCAGTCAGATTAGCCTCAGTAACAGGGCAGCCTTTGCAGACTGGCCCAGGGAAGCTGAAAGGGTATGGAGGCAGTGAGCAGGTCTGGGTGGAAGAACAATGGCTCTCTGGGACCAGGTGTTTTGAGGTAGATCAGGGAACAGAGGAGGGTGGAGCTTAGCTCAAGGGCCAAGTGTAAAGCTGGGACTATGGGGGGGGGGGAGAAGTAGGAAGCATGATGCAGAGTCATGGCTCTTCTCCTGTGTAACACTGAGGTGGGTGAAGGAAGCCACACCTTCAGGTGCCTGGATTGTTGGTAAATAAAGCGACTTGCATAAGGAAACAGTGAAATGGGCTCATGGTTTCAAGACCCCCATGGACTCCAGGTACAATGTTCCCCTGCCTGCCCCCAGAGGGGTACTACAGCTAGGAAGACTAAGGTAGCTTTTCCCCATTGTTGGTGGGCCTAGTTCAAACCAAGGTTCCTGCTGCCATGTGCCATTCTGAAGCAGCTTTGTTTACATAATTGGTGGTGAGCAACAATCTTAACTTTGGCTTTCTTTGCACGCTCCTAGTCAAAGGCTGAATTGAGAGGCAAAGAACCTCTAGTAACATCAGAACCTTTTGGCTGGGGTAAGTGACCACACAAAGAATAAACAGGATTGTTTGATATGGTATGCAGCAGTAGGTGGAATACAGAATTCCTAGCGCTCTCTGCAAACATGCGGGGGCGGGGGGGGGGATCAGCATCCGTCCAGTTGATTATCTTCCCTGAGTAAGCATTTTGCTTCTTCCTTGCAATAGTCCCATCCTGCTGGAGTTTCTTAACTGTATGAGACAGAAGCCCTTAATTTTCCTTTCATTAGAATTTTTTTCCCTTAGTTCTAACTTTTCTGTGGCACGGTAGGTCTCATTTAAAAAGCATGTACAATCTGGGACAGCACGATGGCTGTCTCCTCCTCCTCGGGCCAGTCCTCCTCCTCCTGTTGCCTTCACAGCCCAAATTGTCTCACTTTCTTGGCTTTTTATTCACAAGAAAATTGAAGCTGCCAAAACTGAATATGCGTAATGCGTAATGATTTTGTCTGGGAAGCTGAAGCTGTAGCTTAAGACACCCCTTGTCCTGTGTTTTGGACTGATGAAGAATGTGTTGAGCCAGAGATAGGAAAGCAATCCAGAAACGTATGTCATATGAAAGCAGAACAAAAATGGGAGTTTCACCTTTCCAGCTGGCTGGTCAGTCCGAAAGCTGTGGGCAGCAGGCCAAGGTGGAATTAAATGCCTTCTATTAAGTTGGTGGTTTGTTCTGTCTAGGGATTCATATTATAGGTAGGCATGACAACTTCCCAAGTACATGCTGGAAGATAGATGTGTTCCTTTCCCCCCAGACTGTGAATGATTTATTTGAGTCAAAACATGGTGCTGCATCCCTTTGTCTCCAGAACATCCCCAGACTAGTACAAGATCAGTACCTTTTAATTACAAAAAGGAGGGTTGCAGCTTGTCAGTTACTGAAGTTCAGTTAAAGAAAATGAATTTTTGCATACAGAAGAAAATGAAGTGGCACCACACTCTATGAAACTCTGCACAAGGAAAGCAGTTTCTGCTCCAGTAGGCAAGAAGCACTGTGCTTCCTGGCCTGTACAAGTAAATGGTGCAGCATTTTAACGAGGCGCGACTCCCATTAGTCTGTATGTTCTGTGCCACAGTCTTCCCTTCAGATTTGTTGCATGGCTTACACGTACAGAGGGACCAATGCAGAGATCCAGCACAGTTAGGTCTTTTCTTGTCAATTACTTTATTGTACAGTAATTACACAGTGTATACACTGTTGTCAGTGAGACAAACATCTCCCCCCCACACACACACTCTCTGCAGCATGTTTACTGCAGGAAAATCAAATTTTTGCCAAACCAGGGATAATCACAATGTAAGACCGGAAAATCTAAAATATTTTTTGCCAAACCAGGGATAATCAAAGAGCTGTTCACAATGTAAGACCGGAAAATCTAAAATAGTGGCTGCCTATGGTGGTAAAAAAGCAAATTGAGTTCTGTAGTATTCCAGCATGTGCAGCTTTGAGGCAGGCCACCTCCTATCATCAGTAGCAATTATGTACAGAAGCATCTTAGGTACACTCATCCTGCTTTATGGCAAGACTGACCTCATTGGCAGAACTCTACCTGTAGCATGCTTTCTCCTTCTCACCTTCACAAACCAGTCTCACATGCATACCTGTTGCACTGTAGTGCACTGAGAAGCACACTGTTCCATGTCACAGACACCTTCTCTCTGAGAATGACACCAGCCTCCACTCTACCATTTGCCCCTTTTCTTTATCCATACGTATCCCCAAGAAGAGGAGTGGACATCATGCTGCCTCCCTCTTCGTGTTTGTTATGATCACACACATCTGGGTCTAAATTACAGCGTTAAGAATAGAACTGGAGTTTTCTGTTAATTTGGAAAGGCCCTGACAGCTCATATGCCCACACAGAAACATCTTCTCTAAACCATGCAGCGTGGGAGGCAGGGGCATGACATGGCCGTGAGATGGACTGTTGGCCCAGGAGCATAGGGTGGTTCTGTGCAAGCCTGCGCTCTGGCGGGCGCCGCTGCTGCAACAAGAGGCTTTCAGAGAAAAAGTCAATTTTGCTTTTCTTTTTTAAAAAACAACAACAACAACAACACAAACCCCACAGTAAAAGGAGTATTCTGTTTTCTCTGAAATTTGGATTTATGCAAAACGCTCCTTGGAACAGAGGGTCACCAATTTTTTTTCCCCTAAATGAGAGCTACTGAGTAATGGAAAATACCCCAAGCATGTTACCAAGTTTTGTTCTGTCCTTGATACAGAACATGGGCTATGAAGAGGAACAGAAATGAAGCTATCATCTCAGCAGCACAGAGAAAATTATTACCGGGTTGGGGAGGGCGGGCTTGTTTTTGCTTTAAAAAGAAAAGAAAAGCATCAGGCAGATCATTTCACAAGCTTTTCCTGAGGCTGTCCAGAGCCTGCATAAGCTATTCTGCAGCAGCCAGCAAGCTACTAGCTGTTTTATGGGCTAGCTGTTGGAGACCCTGCCTTGCTCTCTGACGTGAAGTGATGTTTTGAATTAGGTACCTGATGTTGAGAAAACATAGCCCAGATGCAGTAGCACCTTACTACCTCCATGACAGCTCTGACATTTTTATATAAAGCAGAGAACAATTCAAGACAGTTCAAGCTGCATTGTGTTAATGAAGTAAAAGTCCCAGTGCACATCATAACACTCACTACAGTCCCCTCCTGTCAGCTGCTGACCTCTTCCAAGTATTCATTCATTCCATCACCTTATTCAGTGTTCCCAATTAAGTTCTTGATGCTGCTTTACAAATCCTTGGCAAGAAAAATGTTACCTTCTTTGTCTCATTCATTGTAAACTGGACAACTGGAATTGTTTTGGGTATGAGCAGTGACGGGGAGAAACTTAATTACCACCAAAACCTCCTATTCAGTTCAGTTAAAAAAATAAATAATTAAGATTATTTGCACATACAGCAAAAATTAAAATGCAAAAATATTCCCACAGTATCAGTCTTGGACAGCTTGAATCTCAAATTATTTCTCTCCTTTGATGCAATGGAAAATTTTCCACATACATATACTTTAATTGACAAGTGTATGTACAATTTTCCACATCCATTTAATAGATATCATATAACTGATACCTTCTGCAAAGCTATTCCCATACCCTGTACTCATATTTACATTTGCTAATAACATTATTTGATGCATGACTCAACAAAAAGCTACTAAAACAACTAAGCACTGCTTTTATGCTGTGGACAGCATTTCACTAGATAATTAAAAGATAACGTCCTTAACAAATAAATAGTTATTCGTTTATAAATCAGTAGTCATTCTTATTTTAAAAAATCATAAATAAATGCACATTGTGCAATTTTCAGGTTTGAAAGGCCCTGTGAATTTCACATACCAATAGGGCTGTGCCAGAAGAGAATGGGTGCTTTTTTTACAAATGGAACAAAAGTGACCCCCCCCTTCAGCCCCTCCTCCTTCCCCAAAAGGGGGTGGATCTATTTGGGCAAAGAGTAGCTACTGCTGATTTAGAAAACGTTGTAACTGGGTTCATGAAATTGTCATGTATGCACATCTGACTGTGTAGCATTGTGACATCATGTCCGCTACATGATAATCAGCTGGGGTCACCTTTCTACAGACAACTTGGTCTTTTTTGTAAATAATGAATGTCGTAGTATACAAGGTGTGAGCAGGATAACCAACATAGGATAAGGAAGCGTTGGAAAACATTTTGCTCCCCCACCCCAGCTCCTTTTTAGTCCCTGTTTTACAGTTTATTTTTTCTCTTTGACAAGTAGTTATACTGAATCAACTGCACATGTGGAAAGTCCATTAGACACTTCACTGCTCAGTCTGCTTTGTTAGAGGAGGTTCTAATTTTCGGGAGAGTGCAGTTAATATCTGGTTGAATTTCTCGTATCTTTCACTTTGGTTAACCTGTGCTCCTTTGCTGCCCCAGAGCAACCTCATCTGGAAGTCTGTTTTGAAGACTTCACTTAGCTCATCATCTGGTTGAAAACCTGTTGAAACAAAAAGACAAAATATGTAAGGACAGCTATAAAACAGCATTTCCACAAAAGAAACGTTCAAGACAAAAGCCTCCATCTGTCTATTGAGCAAAAGGACAAACTGTCCCATTCATGGTCCTAGCTGCAGGAGCTTG